AGAGAGAGAGAGAGAGAGAGAGAGAGCATTGGGACTGGAGCCAGATAACTTCTTAATGGCATGAAAATGGTCCCTCCAAACTCTTTGATTATATCAAATCTTCCTACATCAGCAATGTGAGAGAGAGTGAGAGAGAGAGATCAGCAGTTAATGCCACACTGACTGAGGTCAGGCCCACGAAACCTAGTCGTGAAAGGATCAAGCCTCACCCACACAAGAGAGAACAATGTTGCAAGGAGGAGAGACCACATGACAATAATCGTGGGAATGTGGCGCCTCCGAGCTAGCAAGCCCTTCAAGAAGGGATAGAGATGGACAATTACCCAAAAAGCAAAGAATAACTTAGAAAAAAGAAGAGCCCAAGACGCATGATCACTGTAAATGGCAAACGAAAATCCTGCCACAATAGCCCCTACATTAAGGATGATCAAAGTGGTTGGTGGGATCAAAAGAGATGTCCACTTGAACTTATAGAGCTCTGTTAGATGCTCCTCCCCAGAAGCATACTTCTTTGATGTAACAGTGAAACTTGGGTTAACCCCAACAAAAACTCTAATCAACCCCTGAGAAACAGCAAATAGATGGGAAGAAACACCCCCGATAACCCAAAATTGCTCGTTTCTCCACCACTCTTGGATCCCAACACCACTCCAACGCATTTCAAGGATCCCAGTTAGGAGAATTGAGAGGAAAAGCAGCATAAACCAGATGCTTGTCGGACTATCAACCTGAAAGCATGTGAGGAAGTGTAAATAATGAGCATCCCTATGAGGAGAGAGAGAGAGAGAGAGAGAGAGAGAGAGAGAATCATATAATCCATATGGTCATGCCAATAACTATGACCGTGTGGTTTATGACTGTCCGATTAGTTGGCAGTGTATCATCACCTCATTAATTGGTTGGACAGTGATGGACAGAAAGTTGGGACGTATATTCATGAAGTGAATTGTAAAATAAGACCTATGCCAATCCATCAATGTCCAACCATTGAACGGAAAGTGATAACCTCATGGTCATATGGTCATCATGATGACCATATGGATCATACAAGCCTAACAAAATAGATGACTTTCTGTTAATATGTAGCTTGAAAAGACATACCTCTGGGATGATAAACTTTCCGGTGAGTAGGCAAACAGCAGGCAAAGTACAATATGTAACCAGAGGAATTGAATTTAGAGGATAGATGGTGGTGTTTATATACGCTACTCTCTCTAACCACTTAAGTCTCCCACCATAAGAATACCAAATGGGGCAGCGGCTACTGACAAGAATCTCAATGGAGCCCATAGACCAACGGTGCACCTGGATCAGGCGATCAGAGAGGTTGATCGGTGCGGTACCTCTAAATGCAGGTCGAAGGGGCATGCAATATATTGATCTCCAACCACGAACATGCATCTTAAAACCAGTTAAAATGTCCTCTGTTACAGAGCCATAGATCCAACCAATCTGTACCAATAATAAAAGTAGCAGGTTTCAATATTCCCATTTAGCTTTAGTACTTAGTAGAGGAAATAACTTTAAGAACTGGGAGAAAAATACATTCTCGACCAAATGGCGATGTAAATAATATTGCAGGACCAAACATTAATGAAAGGCACTGCTCTTTTATACAGAGTAATCTTTACAGAATAAACCATCATAAATAAACAATCATGTCTTAGCAACTCTGTTCAGAGAGAGAGAGAGAGAGAGATGTAGCAGCTTTTATGCCATAAAGACTGTAGTTCTTATTTGTGGCTACTTATTAATCCAGTAGCAACACAAGAAAAAAAATAAGGACGAGTAACAAATTTGTAACTTTATGCAATAGCCAAATTTTTTCATCAATTATACCTCATTTCCCCAGTCTGTGTAATCTTCATAGTCACAACTAATAACGTGGATCGCTTCTTTTAAAAGCTCTTCAGGAGTTGCAGACCTTGAGAACATATCATTCTTTACAAGAGTAGATGCAATGAGAAAAGCTGACTGACCAAAGCGTTTCTCCAATCTCGAAAAGATTGCCTGAAAATCTCGATCATGACTGATGGTTTCTGGATCAAGTATAGCCGCGAAGTTCATAGAGAAAACTGGAGTAGAGGGTTTATGATCAAAGCCTGGGTTTGGGTTTTCTTTCTTTAGACCAAAGCAACTTGATCTAAACCCCTTTTGCTTCAAAGGAGGCTCACAGCCATATAAAGCTGTCCTGCTGAATATACAGCCTGTTCCCACATAAATCGGGCCTTGTATCCCATCAAGACCTTTCAAGTTAATCTGAGTAACATGAAAAGTTTTTCCTTGCAGTGTCAGTTTGGTCAGGAAAAATTAGCCATTTGCAAGATAGTACATTGATAGTCATTTAAGCAATATACAAGAAGCAAGAGAAAACATGAATTTGTTCAGAATGAAATGTACAGATTCAATTACAAATAAAGCATTCAGTGTTCATTGCTGATTGTCCCAACTCATGAATTGTTCACATGTTAGTAGTGAGCCGCATTTAGAGAGCTATCACCCAAGCCATGGCCAAACTGGTAAAGCGATTTTTCTTACAAAAGAAATATCAGGGATTCAACTGTGATGCAATATATTAACATAGGAAATAGTTCTTTCTAAGTTCCAAACTAATAGTGCACATTTCAGATTATTATGTAGAGTGAATAGTATGTACAAGATGCTCACATCGAAGAAAACTGTATTGTGGTTGGCATACCGATCACTTGCATCAATACCATCAAACCTTTGAGGAAATTGTACGTAACAGACTTTCTTCCCATTTTCAGGGTCCAGCATGAAACACATCGCCTCAAGGACAGCTTTGCTATTGTTGATGTAGTGGTTACAATCGAGATTCAGCACATAGGCCCCATTGCTAAGGACTGCAGAAACACGTAGCTGAGGCTTAACAGGATGAGATCCCTTATAAATCTATATAAAATGCAATCCACAACTAGAGAATTATGGGAAATTACATAAAATAGTCCATTTGGTCATCACCGTCCATTAAAATGAACAGTGATACGTGAGTGGGCCCTGAATTAACATGACATAACTAATTACGAGGTTCCACTCTCTCCATTACCAACTATCATTATTCGACATGATGACCCAATGAACAGTAGGTTTTTATACAATCTATATACATTCCCTGGAACTACACCCAAAAGATTCAAAATTAGGAGACATACCAGAGCATTCATGGCACCAGCCTTCCTGTGGTGCTTGAAACCTGGCCTCTTCTCACGGGCTATGTAAACTAATCCTGGCAGTTTCTTGCCTTCTGTATCAAATGGCCCACTATGGCCTGATAATATCTGAAATGATAAAACAACATGGAAGGAATAAGCATAGATTACCAGACAATCACAATCTGCATCATGAGATTGATAGAAACAATATCAGAAATAATGCCTGAAAGGAAATAATTAACATATGAAATACCATAAAACAAAACAACAAGAAAGTAGAAACCTACATAAAAAATTTCCGGACCTTTGGGGCACATTTAGGCATTTGAATAATGCATTTTTGACTTTGTATAGCAATAACTATGATATTTACATTAAAACTATAATATTTTAGAAAAGGAAAAAGTTTATACAGAGCCGTGGCTCTAGACAATCAAATTAGAGCCCACCTCAAAAATTCCACTAGGAGAGTTTGTTTTGATGCCCAATATCCTTAAATTGATCATCTCGACATCAAGATGCATGGACATGAGAAAAAAATGGATTTCAAATTTTGGAAATAGTGCACCTTGTAACGTATTTTTGGACCATCAATTTTCAAGATTTTCAAGTTTTCATAGATCTGCTCGATCTACACTAGTTTTAAAGCTTTAAATTTTATAATTAAAAATAAAAATATATTTTAAGGCCATCACAAATATTTCCAGTATTGAAACCACATATCTTGACACTATTTGAAGGTGTGCTTTACTTTGATTGTTTAGAGCCTCAGCTCTATACAAACTGCACCCTTTAGAAAAACAAGATACATGGGTTATTTGTGCAAAGATTGAGATGCATGATATTTATACAATATGTGAGGTTTCATTACAAAGGATGAGAATTATTCACTGGATATTTCAGTCCTAAGATTTTGGGGCTCAACTCGTAATGATTAAATTTTCAATATCTTTTTTTTTAAAACTGTATTAGAATTTAATATATTTTTAGAAGATTGTAAACTGGTAACTATTAATGCTGAGTGGATTCCCCTTGCACATACCATCACTGCAGCAAATCGTCAAAAAACAATTGGAAAAAAGTAAAATTTTAAGAAAAATAAAGAAAAATTGTAGGCATGAAAATAAAAAACAAAATGGAGACAAATAATAAACTCAGGACATATTTAACAGATTCTATTTACAAGCAATCTAGTAAAATGAGAGGACTATAAACAACTTGTACACTGGCCATAATAATCAACCTGAAAGATATTATTTGTAAGTCATTTTTGGTGATCTATGGCAGGTGTTTTGACAATCTCAAGGGAAGATCAAGTGATTTTGAGCAAAGAAAAAAATA